GTAGTCCTCCACGTACGACCACAATTGGCCCTAGAATTTATGTTGCTAAATGAGAAATGTATTAAGCAAGTTTTGCCTCTTTGACGGCTCTTCCTGCCACATCTGTTAAGTGAATCACTGCAGTTGTTAAATTAGTAACACGGCTATTAAGTGAATTTGGCTTCCCCATTGACTTTGCTTGTCAGAAGATTGCAAAAGAGGATCACATGACCCCGGAACATTGCAAATGTCATAAATATTGCCAAGTGTCTGAATTTTGATCATGTGACCATGAGGATGCTGCAATGAATGTAAGTATGAAAAATGGTCATAAGTCAATTTTTTCAGTGCTGTTGTAACTTTGAACGGTCACTAAATGAACTGTTGTAAGTCGAGGGCTACCTTTCCTATGAAAGAGATCTTTAACAATAGGCAGGGACATTTCTCAAGATGCTTTATTGGATCATTAAAGCAGTTGCCTCTTTTTCCAGGCTTACATAGCTTGTTATGGGAGTATCTCCACATAGTTGCTGTGTCCTCCTCACCCAAATTCATCTTGAAAGTAAGCTTGCAAGGTGTCTATGGAGATTTTCAGTCATTCAGGTCATGGTTGTCCCAAAGATGCTTTTTCAAGAGGCAACTGGACTTTCTTGTTTTTCTTTGAAGACGTTTACCTTCTCATCCAAGAAGCTTCTTCAGCTCTGACTGGAGGGTAGGGAATTTCCCCATCATCCAGTCCAGAGCTGAAGAAGCTTCTTGGATGAGAAGGGAAAACAAGAAAGTCCATTTGCCTCTTGAAAAAGCACCTTTGGGACAAGCTTGCAAAGTGAAAGAGGTTCAGAGATAGTGACACACCCGAAGTTGATAGTAGCCTTTTTTTTTTAAAGGAGTTTCAAACTTTATTGCAACAAATGGTCAAGTAAGAACTTTTGTTAAGTGTCTAAACCTGCTGTACAGGAGGATTCTATCAAGAAAGCAGCCCCACAAGAATCATGATTTGGAAAACCACCCAAGAACATTACAAATAGAACTATTTAGCTTATAGGTACTGCTGAATACACAATTTCTGGCTTTGAAAATAATGCCTAATTTATCATTGTCCTTGACACTTTTATTGAACACAAATATTGTAAGATCCCTTTCCTGGAACATTTATTTCCTGGTAACTCCCAGGCAATTTAGGATGCAGACACTTCTTATTATACTGCAAATATTCCAGGGACTTAAATGTCACTTTGTTCTCCTACAAGATGTACCAGTTGAAGAAGAGCTATTCATCTCACTTCCTTTGTTAGACATCTAGACCAACATTGCCCAGTCAATAGCTAAACTGGTTACATTATACATTATATCTATACAATTTCTTTATGCTAGGAATCGGGGTGGGAATTATGCTCCTTATGTTTTGTTTTATTTTATGAATGCTAACAATAATTTGTTTGATTTTAGGCCTTGGGCAGATGATATACTATACTTTAAATAGCTCATATAAGCCTCACATCCTTTAGTTTTATAAGGAACTATATGTTTCATTTATAGTATTGCTTCTTGAATGTCTTTGTATTTCTGCTGATCTGATTGATCATTGACTCAAGCAAATAATAATAATTGTTGTTATATTAATTAGTGTTGTACCTGATTCAGCAACCTGTATTTGAATAAGTCAAAAATAAAGAAAAAAAGGACATTGCTGACAGTTGAGAACAGATAAATTTAATAACCATCTCCAGACTGTGATGTTAAAACATAAACTGTATACGTGGATGGAAGCCAAACCTACTGCTCATTTTTTAGTAGGATGTGGAATTCTAACATTTAAGAAAGCACACAATGTGAAAATATAATAGTTTTACCCATTGCAAGCCCTATGATCCTGTAAGGAATACAGCAGGATGCAATAAAAGCTGCCCATAAAGCAATATATAGTTTCTGCGTTACTTCAGGCTGGACCCACATGAACAAACTGGAGAGAGAGAACAAAAAATAAAGGTAAATAGGCAGCATTTAAAGATATTACCATTCAGACCTAATGAAAAATATGTTGTTAGAAAGAGAAATATATAGAAACTTACTTTTTAATTTTTTCCAGTATATCTGACATTTTCCCAAATAAATTCTGTAATCAAGAAAGAAAGGGAGTATTAGATTGGAATACATGTCTGTGTATATGAAAAACAAGAAGCTGTTTAAAAAGTTTACTTTTTAAACCAAACCCTATACATTTACTATGTTCTGCTATTTCTCAAATGCTGTGATTAATACAAGTTGCCTTCCATAAACATTCTAGTCCAGTAGACTATACTTTCCAGGCATCATTTCTCATATGGAGATCTCTTGCTCCTACCTGCAACTTCTAAATGGAGATGCCAAAGATTTCGTACCTGTGCTTTTTGTGCCACATCCAGAACAAGCTGAAATTTTTCTGATACAGTTAAGTCTTCTTTGGGAGGTTCCTAAAACAGTAAATATAATTTGTCATCGAAACATGAATATGTGGCTTTAAACTTAAAGAAAGAAAAAATACTCTCCAATAATGTTATGATTTAACTATAATTTACTGAAACAAAGCAGCTGCATAAACTGCACTTTAAAATTAGCCAGCCTGTCTCTGTTAAACTATGATTATTTTAAAAAGAAACAAAACCATCCAATGTATTCCTCAAAGCTATCCCCTAAGGCAGGGAGATGGGAGAATAAGAGCCCTAGGCTTACCAAGTATTATTCATTCGCATAATAATAGATGTTTTATGGTGACAACCAGATCCGGCTTTTGTACATATATGTTGGTTTGTAGCCAATGTTATTTTTTTCATCACTAGACTGAACACTGCTGGTGGACAACATTCACTTGTCTGCTCCATATACCAAGTCTGCACTAGAAAGTTTGGAGAATTTGGGCCACAATCTATAGCCCAGATTCATAGAGATAAAACAGTATCAAAAAAATTGGAGATGGATTGTTTCACATATTTTGCAGATTTTAATCCAATCCAAATTGCTTCTGCTAGATCAGACATGTCAAACTTGTGACGTCACGTACGTTGCGCAACATATCGGAACTTTTTCACCATTGCCGGCAATGGGGTGGGCATGGTTTCCTCGTGACGCATCCGGCTCGCGGGCCAGCAGTTTGACACCCCTATGCTAGATGTTCTGACCAGTATGATCCCATGGATCACTCTTTTCCATAATGTTAAAATAGATTCATTGTCTGGAACTGCAACTAGAGTATTTGAAGGACGTCTTGGTGCCTGATGGAACTAAACTCAAACTACTATAAACACATAATAAACTATTAAAATAGATAGTGTAGATTTAACATTTCTTTTAATCTTCTAGGGCAGACTATACATTTATTTTGTATTTAACCTCTTAAATTTTATGCAGACAAGTAGGCTTGGTTCTGGCCAACATAATGTGCTTCTTTATAAATGACCTCAACGATGTAGCTTCCCTCAAAATAACTAGATATACCCTGACATGGGCAAATTATTTTAAGTCATACTTCAGAATTTCATATTTATTAGACTCCTATACTTCAAAATATAAGTTATATATTCTAAGTTTCTTCTTTAACTAAACATTATAATGTGGTCTTTTATACAATATTTTAAAAAATAACAAAAATGTTGGACAGCATACGAAGTCACAATATAATTAAAGTTGAGTTGATTAAAATTATCAAGAGTATAAAATGCCTAATAGATAGTACAGGTAGTCCTCAATTTACAGTCAAATATTTAGTGATCACTTGAAGTTATAACAGCACTGGAAAAAATGACTTAGAACCAGTCCTCACACTTATGAACTGTGGTGGCACAATGATTAAAAGGCAGTATTGCAGGCTAACTCTGCCCACTGTCAGGAATTTGATCCTGACCAGTTCATGATTGACTTAGCCTTCCATCCTTCCAAGGTCGGTAAAATGAGGACTCAGATTGTTGGGGGCAATATGCTAACTCTGTAAACTGCTTAAAGAGGGCTGTAAAGCACTGTAGAGCGGTATATAACTCTAAGTGCTATTGCTATTACAACCATAGCAGCATTCCCCGTGGCTATGTGATCAAAATCTGGTTGCTTGGCAACTGGCATATGTTTACAACATGTCCTGGGGTCATGTGATCATCCTTTGTGACCTTTTCAGCTGGTTTCCAACAAGGAAAGTCTAGGGGAGAAGTTGGATGTGTTTAATGACATGATTCATTTAACAACTGCAATGACTTAACAACCATGGGAAAAAGGTCATAAAACTGGGCACACCTCATTGAACAGCTGCTTTGCTTAGCAATGGAAATTCTGATTCCAAATGTGATTGTAATTTGAGGACTACCTGTGTAAATTTGAAACGTATCAAAACATTCATATAAATATTTCAATAATGATCTCAACATTATTTGGACTTACAATAGGCTCAGAAACTTCAGGCACAATGCTCCACTGTATCCTCCACCCTCTAATAAAAAAAAGGCATTTGCATTAAACAGGAACACTGGTTTTCTATGTGGCTTCATAACAATGAAACAGAAGAGATCCTTTTAAAAAGCAACCCGTGAAGGCAACAGAATATATCTTTTCAAAATTTACAAACTTTCTTTAATATAGTGCTGACATCCATCTTGAAGAGATCTTGTAGCTCTGAATGTTCAATAGATTACAGTAGATCAAGTAATTAATAACATTCTTTTTTTTAAAGAAATAAAGAAATAATTAAGCTATTACAACAATGTTGTAATGATGTAATGATACAGTAATGATTCTATGTAGATTACTTTATTAGACAATGCAGTCAGGATTTATCATCCTGCTAATTATGATCAATAAACAATTCCATCACACTATAAAAATATAGTAAATAAGTATTTGTATTTCAACTTTCCTAAAAACATGAAATTGGAACTCCCCCTATACATTTATTGTGTAAAAGGATCTCTATCAATACTAGTGAAAATGGGGCCATATTTCAAAGTTTATCTTTTTCTGGAAAGCCACATGAATCTGGCAATCAGTTCCTGATTGCAGTGATCACTTCTCACCTTAGCTATTGTCAATGTGTGGCTCTTTGCTATAAAGACCATGGCAGGCAATGTTGCAGACAATGAATCTGAATAGACTCTGTACAACTCAATGGAACACACTTGCTGACTGAGTTTAAGCGATTCCATTACAAGAAATGCAGGAACAGTGAGTAGAAGTAATAATAATACTAGAATTTGGCACATGAAAATGTGATGAAGAAGGGTTGGGGAAGGATTTGCTAACACACCCACAATTCAAATTCTGTGGTTTGTTGTTTACTTTCTCCTCTTACTGTAATTTGTAAAGAAGCTACAATTGAGGTGAATTTCATATTCCCCAAACATCTGAAAGGCAATTGAACCAATTTGTCTCTTTTCCATTTAAACATAACACAGAAGGTGAAGCAGAAATCAAGTTTTGTTTGCAAGGATAATTGAAATGTGATGATAAATATGCACAATGCATTACAGTTGTCGTACTAGAGTAGAAGTAAAGTAAAATCCTGGATGAAAGCCAAGATCAAAACCAATTTATTTAATCTCTGTAACAGAGAACCTTTTGAGATTCTTACTCTTTAGGAAGGATTGGGAGTTCCTGAGTTTCTGAACGGCCCCCGAAAGAAAATCTTTTCCTTTATGCACTAGCATCAGCAGCTACTAGTTCTTAAGCAACATCTGTGCAGTTTGGTTGGCAACAGATTGGAAGACTAGCTCTCACCAATGTGGAACAATTAGAAACCAGGTTGGCTAAATATAATTCAGCATTCAGGACACCCAGTTATAAATACAGAAGCCCAGCCAGTCCTGCTCAATTGCCTGCGGTTTGTATAGCAGAACACCTTGCTTCCGATTATGCCAACCACGGTTTCTGGAGAAACATCAGGAATTTTGTTCCCTAGATCAGTGGTTCTTAACCTGGGCGGTACCGCCCCCCAGGGGGCGATTTCATTTTTCAGGGGGGCAATGGAACGAAAAGGGGCGGCGTGGGGGTGATGGAACGAAAAGGGGGCGATAGGGGGGCGATGGAGCGAGATGTTTTGGGGACACTTTTGAGCCTTCCCCTGCAGCTCCGAGCGTCCTCCGCCATTTGTAGAGAGAGACAGAGAGAGGCACTTGTGCTTCTTTCTCTCTCATGCGGATTTGCCCCCTCGCAGGGCTCCTGATTGGCCCTGTGCCCAGGCGCCCCGCCCTCTGGGGGAAGCGCGGCCAGGAAGTCCCTTTCCCTGGCTGGCCCCGTCCGAGGTACACGTGGTCGGGGAACCGCACGGGGAAGCCTGGAATCCCCGCTGGGAGCAGCCTGCCAGAGCCTCTGCTGAGCAGGCCAGCCTTCCCGCAAGCCACGGCCCTGAGAGAGAGCAGCCCCTGCGATCTCCAGCTGCGG